GGTATAAAAGTTGTTTGACTGATAACTTAGGGTTTCTTACTACACACACACACACACACACATATATATATATATTTGCGATCATAAAGATATTTTATTTTCCTAACTGTTTTACACTTATGTATATATTATGGTACATATATCCTGATGGATTGAATATTAATCCTGGGTATTAAAGTTGTTTTCTGCTGCTAGATATGTTGAGTTGTTAAATATAGGGATCATAGTGAGCTATTACAATAGATATTTGTTATTTCAGTTGAATTTTAACCATTAATAATAACATTTTTAAAGTGAAAGTTGTAAATGTGATAATCAACTTAAGTAGTTTGATATATTATTATATTTTTATACATTCTTTTTATAAAGAAGTCCTTTGGTTACAAATTTATGATTGAGTTAGGTCTTATGTTTGATAATAGATTAATCCTACTTAACCTTACTTTTGGTTACATAATTTTCAATTGTGTTTGTTAAGTAAAAATGATTAATCAATGTGTTTTGTTATTATGATAATAGTTTAATTTACCTAATCTTGATGTTAACATGACCAACATGCGACTTAATTGGGTAAAGGAAGGTATGACTTTAGAATTGATGATATTCTAATAAGTTGACTACTTTCTTAGTTTTTTACTTATCCATTTTAAAGGATATCATATAAACTAAAAAAGCGTGATTATTTTTAATTATATAATATGACTTTTATTGTTATTTCTTTGTTATTTATGATAACTGTGGTAAACACTTAAAAATTAAGTACAAATAAGAGCATAAATAATATCACTTTAAATTTTAAAACAAACAAATAAAAAATAATAATAATTCTTGAAATAAATTAAAAGAAATAAGGAAAATATATTTTTTATTTAGTCCCTTTCTTTTTTTACTTTATTTTCCTTAACTTCAGTCACACTCTAACTTGTAGCATCACCACCCTTCACATTATCTGACCTAATGCTACCAATGACACAAATTGCTAAAATGCCATTAACTTCAACAGCACCTTTTCAGTCACCATTGGTATTCTTTAACACCTTTGCATTCATCACCTCTTCATTTTCTTTGTTTATCGAATCATGAATATGACTTACGTAGTGTCTCAAAGTTGGCTCACTACCCCTTTATTTGAATCATCCTTCTTTACATATCTTTTTACTCCCTCTATGCCTTCCATTTCTCCATATATATTGATGGTAGTTTGTGTTTGGAGTCATGGTTGTGGTCACTCACCACTTATACTAGTTACAATGGCAGTTGGACATTGGCAGGACTAAGTTGAAAAGAAACAAGTTAAAGGGGGATAAATTAAAATAAAGTTCAATTTTAATTATCGATATAAAAATCTTTATATTATCAATTAGTCAAAAATCATGAATATGATTTTAAAGTAATGATTGTTACATTGTCATCCAATCACAAATTATCATTTAAAATAACTTTTTTGAGTTTTATGAGAATTATCTTAAATATTACACATCCTAATTTATAATTGATTGTGTAACACTATGAATTTTTGTTAATTATTGTGTTTTATCAATGATTGTATGTTGTGGTATTTTGAGGTGTGGTGTTGAGAGACTCTAAGAGTTAAAGAACTCTTGAGGAGTCTTTTAGGTGTTTTAAAGGATTTCTCTGGACAGAAGTTTAGTTTGACTTTAAAGCAAAAATATATAAGGTTTCTTTTACGATTTGAGCCTCATAAACTCATTTTTTAGAAAACTTAGAAAGATCTTAGAGAGAGAAGCTCTAGAGTGCTCATTCCCCTCCTTTATTCTTTCTAGACTCCCTGAGGGTGTAGAAGATCATTGTTGATTAATTGAGTTAATGATTCAAGGATGTTGGGGCTAAGAATTAGTGTTGGTGTGGAGTCTTGGAGGTGCTCAAAGCTCAACTTTTGCTTCATCTTCTTCCATAGTTCTCTTTGGATTAGAGGTAAGGGAAGTTAGGCTTTTGGTTCTTGCTAGATTGTTTGGTTTCTTGTTGGTTAATTGCATGATATGGATGCTAATAGTTGAAATTATTCTATTGAATTGCATGATTTGGAATGGTGATAGTTGAAGTTGATGTTTTATGGTTTCAAGGAGAAAAATTTGGTGATTTTGAGAATGGTTGTTGCATGTTGGAATTCTTGTGCAAAATGAGTTGTTGTTGATGTATATTAGTGATATCTTGTATTGCATGTTGGTGGTTTTCTGGTTTCCGGGTGATTTTAGCCAATTCAAGCATCTGTTGAGTGTAGAACTCATCATTACGCTAGTCGGGCCTTTGTGGTGTTGGGTCTAAGGAGAGAGAATAACTTTTGACTTGGTTATGCCAGGTGTGATTTGAATGGTGCCAGGTGTGAGGTGAGAGAATTTTCTTTGCCTGAACTGACATCGAGCGCCAATGGAGTGGCATTGGAATGAGGAGAAAGACTCACTGCCTGAAATGAGGCTGGGAGTTTTCTACCTAAAATGAGTCTAGGAGTTTTCTACCTCATCCACACTGAGCGTAGGCTAAATCATGTCGGGCATGGGCAAGATAGATAGTTCCATGCCTCAATGTAGGTGGATAGTGTTGGGTGCAATTTGCTTTGAACATTTTTGTTGTTTGATTGATAATATGGTGAACATGAATAGGTTTGGTGAATCTATTGCATGTTGTATGTTGATGGGTGTAGATGTATATGATTGTTGATGTTGAGAATGCTTTAGGCATTTAAGCATGATATGTTGAAAGATTGTTGACCTGTTGAGTGTTGATGCTAAAAATGTTATAGGCATTTAGGCATATTGATTGAATTAGGACTAAAGGAGAAGGTGCTTTTGAAAGTTGGACATCCCATAGTGTGGATATTGGTGTAGTGCTCTATGAGCCTAGATATTGGAAAACCCTCCTTGGGTAGGCATTATCTCTTAGAATAGATTGTTGAGTCTCTTTTAAATTCTTAGTTAATATTTGAGTAAGGTATGAAGTCGAGGACTAGAATCCTTCATTACTGAAAAAGGTGTGTGGCATCACGAGAATAGCTAGTGGACTAAATTTATAGGTGACTTTGTTAATGCATGTCAAGATCATGGTACATCCATACTCATGCTATGTTATACCTGGTGGTGGTACTAGACTTTTCTAGTTTAAGTGACAACATTCAAGTAATCATGTGTAGGGTTGGTATCCCAATTGGTTGTTGATTTAGTAGGTGTAAAAATATCAGTTAATTTGGTATGGTCAAGTCACTTAAACTGTTCACCTTAGTTGTAGGTAGGGGTGAGAATAAGTTAGGCCAGACTTTGAATATATAAACTAAGCATGTTTTATAAAATTAAAACCTAAGTCTGACCAATTATCCATCATAAGTTTTTTTTATATATCTGACCTGACTTTTTTAAAGCTTGACATGACCTATTAACCTATTTAAAAGCATATTTTACATTAATAACGTTAAATATGTCAAAAAATTTAATTTTAAATAAGTCAATAATTATATTTTTAAATACACCTGCAAGTTTTTGTTTAATTTGCATGATAAGTCTTTTTAATTTGCATGATAAAAATAGTTTACTTTATTATTATTAAAATTTAGAGTTTAAAAGAAAAAATAAAAAGTTAATTGTGGGACAACTCATGTATATTCACGTACACTAATGTATCCTCGTGCACATGGTAATGAAAAAGATAATCTTATTTAAAAAATTCTAAATATTTCCTATACCATATTTGAAGTATTTTAAATAATTAGCCATACCATGAAGATGAAGGGAAGCAAGCGAAGATTTAGTTACTAAAATTTTTATTTTCGATATCTTGATTTCGTACAAGCAAGAAATATAAAATATTTTAGTGTAGTAGAAATATAAAAATAAAACATTAATAATTTAAAATTTTTAATTACAAATTTATTTATTTAACTATATTATTAATAATGTTATATATATATATATATATTATTTTTATTATATCATAGATAAATAAATTGGTCTATTTATTCCAACAGATTTTTTATAAGTTTAAATAAATAATTTTTTTTTAAAAATTTAAACTTAACCTTTTTTATTAAATAGAGCAGGTCACAGATTGCCTTGTTTAAGATATGATCTTTTAATAACAATATAATATATCTTTACATTGTAAATACATAAACTATTTAATAAACAAAATACCACTAGTCCTAAAAAGAAGTCTTTTTTTTTTCTCACCATAGGTATTATTCCTTAGATGTCCCTCGAGTATAGAATTGTGATTGTGGTTCCTTACGTGCAATTACAATTTTGAACTAACCCATCAGGTTAACATTGTTTTTATCTCTCATTTGTCTTTTGTCCATTAATAAGGTTACGAAAATGTTACCCCATTCTTCATTTGAAGGGATAAATTGAAAAAGAAAAAAAAAAGTCATAAAATAAATTGCAAAAGAAACTCTAAATGTCTTTGGTTTTCAAGTCTATTTCAATTTTAATGTAGCATTGAAGGCTTTTGTATCAGTTCAACCTTAGAAATTAACAAATTGCTTTAATTGTGTGGCTAAATGAAAGCAACTCATGTTATGTCTCCACGAGAAAACTTCCCCAGTACAGTTTAGAGTATAAGTGATTGCATGTGACTGAATTACCAGAGATTAGTTTCAATTGCAGGTATTGTAAAAGTTTACAATTGTATTTATCTTAAGACACTTCATAGGAAAGCATGTAAAAAGTTCTCAAAAGAAAAATCTAACCATTGAAAAAAATCCAATAACAAACTGTTGTGCACGGTAAGTTTCTCAACTTGATAATAATTACCTCAAATTATTCATACTATACTTTTTTTTAATCAAATGACAAAAAAAATAAATATTACACCTATAATACATAGAATAAACTCAATAAAAAATGGCTCTCAAGTATATATTACCAACACCAACCAGACATTACTATCTCCAATCTTTTTTTAAGAAACAAATAATAGTAGATTTTACACTATCATTCATTTTTATTTCTTATAAAAATGACATGAGTGTAACAGTAGATAGAGAGAACAAATAACAAATGCTAAAATGTAATTTCCTCCTTCACAACAAATAATATCGTTAGGTTACAGTTTAGAAAGCACCCAAATGCACTCATTTCAAACAATCTAATAAAATCTAACAAGAACGTGGCACAACATATATCCTACATCTACCTTCTACAACTATGATGAGTAAACAATATTTGATACGCATCATGAGAACAGAAACATGGAAAACCTAACAAATAGATTTCCTAACACTAATACCTATCACCAAAGAGAACAATTTCTCAAGTCAAAACCAACCTGACACTTATCCCACTATAAGCCTTTTGTCAAGTTAATTGTCAGCATCAGTCAAGCATGAGTGAGTCCAAATGGGGTTTGACTCTTCAGAACATGTTTAGCATACAACTCCAGCATCTGCATGGCTGGGGTTAGACTCATTTTCAGGGAAAGAAGTTTCATCATCAGAAGGTGAGCTCCTAGAGCCTTGACCATTGCTAAAAAGGTTTTCCACTTGAAACGCAGTTGGTGTCATGATTGGCTTTACTCCTCCAGTACCAATTCTTATTTCTTCAGCAGAAGTAGGATTGACATGTGTAGGGGCAACCATTGATATTGGCTCCACCCTCGGCTTCTTTGGTTTCTGCTCCAGCTGGTGACCAGGAAGAAAACTAGCCACAACAACCTGGTGCCGAAGAGGGTATGAGAAGTCTTTAGTAAAATGTTCCATATACATGTAATTTAGTTCTTCAGAAATGCTAGCAACACTCTTCCTAACACTTACTAATATTTTCGATTATTAGCCGAAATTTATTGAAAATCACAAGTTTTGGTGAGTTTCACCACAAAATAGGAGAGACTCATTAAATGAGTCATGATATTCACCAAAATTTGTGATTTCCAGCAAGTTTCAATCAATAATAGTTATAGAGATTGTTAGAAAGAGTGTTAGAGAGAGTACTGCTAACATTCTTCTTAGCTCTCTTTCATTGTATGTGCTCTATCTTCATTTTTCTTTTATGGAGTAGTTGATATAACATAAAGTAAGTTCATCAAAACTCCAATTTAAGTCTAGCCTACAGTGTTCATAAATTAACAAAAGTGCTTTATAATGAGAGTAAATTTTGGACAACCATCATCACCAATATTATCTTATTTCCTATTTAATAAAGGATAGAAAACCTCAATAAACAGTTTTGTAAGGTAATTTTTCTTTTTTCAATTCCATCAAATATCCTTTTCTACTGCAGAAATTACCTGCACTGGACCTGCAGCTACCAGCAAACCAGCAAGTCCACCCCCCATTACTCGACCATCAGGACTGGCCAAAGAGATGCTCATCCCACCAGATCTGCTCCTTGTGAATCCATTCTCAGTTGGCATATATGAACCAGTCAAGGAAAGAATTTCAAACCGCCCCTGTAGAAGCACCAAATGTGATAGCATATTTAATTTGATGTAATTAACTAGTGCTGTAACCAAGTTCAATATAAAGAGAGAAACGCTAGAAACACAAAATTTGACACTTTCTAACACTATGATTTGGATAAAACCCCATGCTGGACCCACTTAATAAGTTTGGTCAACAATCATTAGTCGAATCAATGTGGGATTTCATTCATGTCAAAAGGAGTTTCGATAGTATTTCTCGATAGAAAGATAACTGAAATGTGAATCAATTTGATGTGAAGTTTAAGTGAATTAATTTAATGGCTCAAAAAATGAAGATTTAGTAGTCAAATGTCAAATTTCTAATTCCATAAATCAAAAAAGTTTTATTATGATAATAGTGCATGCAAGACATGAACTGTCAAAAAGCACAAAACAAGGTCATATGAGATCTATAAGGGGCAGGGATGGAAAGTGTGAAAAACAAAGGGGCATTCACTTATAGTGCTCAAAACTAACATATTGAACTAATTTGAAACAGAGCAAGGGGGTAGTTCTCACTATCAATATTCAACACAAAATTATGAACATGATAAAAGAAAACGTTAGATCTTGAATTTGTGGATAATAAATCAACATAATATCACCTCTCAGCTGATGACCTGATTAGTGCAACTAACAACATCTGCTGATACAGATAATATTGCAAGAGAAGCCAAATCACACAACAAAGGTAACTAATTTCACCCAATAGCCAAAATCAATTTAACAACTTTAAATAAAGACCATCGCAAATTATTTATGGTAACAGTTTAGAGTGATGCATCCATTTCACTTAATACCATCTACCTGATATTGTAAAACAAAAACAAACACAAGATTTAACCTCCCCCCACAAAGAAAAAAGTGACATTTGATTCTTAATACCTAGAATGGAAGACAAATTTAGCTGCATATGACTCGGGAACATTGGCGTTTAATATTTCGCAACCAGGTTAATTTTACATATATAAGCCGACAGAGAAACCTGGGACAGAACTAACCTCGTATGTTAAAGTACCACCAGAAGAAGATGGTTGGCGTAGTGTGACATTTGAAATTGTGCCATTTGCAGAGAGAATGCAAATGGCTCGACATCCTTGTTGAGAGAAGGACATAATCTTCATAGTAACATCCTGAAATGGGGCAGAGGAAATCACAAAAATATTCACAAATAAGCTTTCTTTCTTCTATTCTCCACCTCTAGACTATAATCTTCTATGACTTCAAAAATTCTAAACCTGCTCAGAAACAAACGGATTCCAAGAGACTAATTTCATATTCTCTTCAATTTCCAAAGAACCACCAATCCTGAGGTTAATACCAATGGGTAATTATCACAACCTTCAGAGTTGGGAGAGGATTTACTTGTATATTTGTTAACTTATAGTTCATACCCAGGCCCAACTCTAGTTACACCATCTTTGAACACTCAACTTTGTCATACAAACAACTTCCTTCATTATATGGTTAATTATTATTTATTGTTTCATATAATTAATGGTATATCCTACTCAAACATGCACAATTAAACAAATATTTTAGGTATTTGATTATACACACCAATATTACTTTATGAAAAAAACAAAGACTGAGAATATTGCACCAAATCAAGAAAGGAAAATATCATATATGCTGAGAGGGATTGAGATTTTTAATAGGAAGATAACAGTACATTTAAGAGAAATGTTTGGAATTTCCACAAATAGACAAAATGAATGGCCTTTAATTTCTCTGAAAATTGGATTACCACAAGTTGGCTAAATATGATCTGATTATTTTCAGAATATAGACCTAAAAAGAAATGAACAGCATACCTCGCCAGCATTTACTGTAAGGATGTGAGGTGTGAAATTGGCACCTACGGAGTATGCAATTCCATCACCTATAAAATAAATAGGTAGGTATATTAATTGATAGACAAAGAAAGAGAAGAGATGTAAATTTTGGAGTGAAAGTTACGATTTAATTCACAAAAAGATGGACACTATGATTTTATTATGTAAAAGCCACCCATGAAATAAAAAAGGTTATAAACAATTTAATTAGAATCACTTTTAACCAGACAAGATATATGTTCAGGGAAATAAGCTATATGGATCAATAGATCATTTTCAAGAGAACACAACAATGAAATTGGTTTTGACATTGTAAGCTGCATCCTTTCAATCACATCCTAACTGTACATATGTATAGAAAGAATCAAGATTAATTAATTGTTCTCATTACTTGATAAGTCCCTATTTATCAGGGATTCAGGTAACCCAATGTTTCACAATTCACATCAGGCTATTATAAGCTGAAGATTATAATTTATCATACAAAATTATCCGAACCTAAAATTTCATGCACACAATTACCATTTACATGTTGTTTCACTACAATTGTCAATAAAAAATCATCAATTTTAGGCTTTATTATGACATTCTAAACCTCTGATATAACATGATATGGTAGACGCCAAAATAGTCATAGTGCCACACAAGATACATTGTTAGTGTGATTCCTAATATATCATTAAACAAGATTGATCCAGTTTCACTGATCTTTAATCAAATACGTAATGAAACAGCTATGCTATGCTTCATCCATTCCAAAACCTCCTCCAGAACTTTCAGAAACCTTGAGCTAAATCTCATAAAAAAATGCCATGACCAAGATTATCTTCAGATATAAAAATAAGCAAGTTAAATTTGCAGCTAAATGTTTATGTAGCTTTAGCATGGCTGCACATTTAAAATGGAAGAAAAAATAAATCAACATTCACATCTATTCCAACCTCTTCATGATGTGGAAATGTATTCTGCACATTGGAGACCAGAAGGCTCCTCCATTTACTTAAAAAGATTTAATTACATTTGAATGACCACATAAATTAAAACTCCATTTATGAAGCCACTATTAGCATGCTGCATGAAAGAATTCATCTTAAAATCTAAAAAACAAATTCCAGCCTATTTTCTGATAACAAGACACTTTTCAAAGATGCAAGCTCAACAAACATCATTGCTCAGATTATTCAAATTCAGGTTATTATTTTGCATCATGTCATGGTCCAAGGTCTAAATCAATATTCCACGTCAGTTAGCAAGCTTTTCAATATAGTTTTAGTTTAGACTTAGACCATCTCAAGCCTTGTCACATCAGCCAAGTACTGGACTAAACCTATTAAATATGCTGGTGTGGTGCCTTCAGTTATTCCAACTCAGTTTTTGGTCAGATTGTGTCACCTTCCCCTCATAAAGAGAAAAAGGAGTATCATATGCTACCTTAAACTGAAAACCGACCTCACTTCACTTTGACCACAAAATATCCCCTTCCACCACCACACATCTACATTTCCAGATCTGAAGGGAATCTAAGACAAGGGTCCACTTGTACCACCATATATAAAATCCAGTTCAAAAACATAAATCAGATCCAACAAACAAAACAAACAAACTGAAAACCTAGATTACATCAACTAAAACTCAAAAATAATACATTTCATGTTTTACATGGTAAATAACAACCCTACTAAATTTGAAAACTTGAAAAGAAAAAAATAAACTACTGTTATTTACTGCTAATGCAACAGTAAAACATAAAAAGAAAAGCATACAAAGCAGTAACTAATATAAGATTAAAGGCTGAAAATGTAAGAATCAATGAGCAATCCTTTCTACCTGGTCCTGCACCTTGACCTTCAACTTCATAAAACTTGAAAGACTTCTTGATTGACTCGTACGGCTTTCCTCTACCCCTTTTCCAGGATGAAAAGTCTCCGGTCAACGGAATCGATGCCGATATCGGCATCGGCGACAGCGCCAGCTTGCCGTCTGGTCCATACTTCCTAGGCCTGCCCCTCTTCTTCTTCCCATCCGTACTACCGGAAGTCACCACCGGAGCACTCGCCGGCGCAGGAGCAGGCACCGGCGACTCCACTGTGGGCCCGGGAAACTGCACTGAGTTTAGTGCCACGTGGAAGCTCTGGGGGGCCTCGACAACCTTAACCACATGGCCAGAACTAAAAATTTCTCTTTCCTCCATTTTTAAGTGAATCAGAGAAAAACTAAGACACCCCAAAACCTTAAAACACGCTTAAATCCCACCCATTCGAGATTCAAGCGTTCACAAACTCTAAACAACGGAAAATTTTGAAAAAAGTTGAACTTAGTTAGGACAAATGTACTTGAATGCAGAACTAACGTGCCCAGAAACAGTACAATGACGTCTGGGCTCAGAAAAAGTTGTAGCTGCACATAAAAACTTCAAAAATAGAAACTTTTGCCTGAAATGGTGAAAACCCAGAAGCAGAATTTTGAACCGTTTTGAACTCCGAGAAAGACGTGACACTGTAGCTCAAAATCAAATCTCCACCATTGCTGAGAGCGGAAAGAGCTTCAAAAAAATAACACAATTTTTGGCAAAAAAAAAATCTACAATTACAGAGAAAAATAACAATTCTGGTTCACAAATTCTCCGGCGTGAAATATGAAATTAGGGTTTTGCAGGAAAAGGAGGAGTAAATAAATAAAGTTGAAAAAATGGGGAAAATATAATAATTTGTAAAATGATAAAGTAATAAAGTAATTAAATAATAAGAATTTAATTTATTTATTAATTAATATTTTAATTGCAAAATTCAAAGTATGAATTTTGGTTAAGAAATTGGTTCACGTCCGTCTTGGAAATTTAATAAAGGTGATTTAATAAATGACTGTGAATACAGATACTTATTAATTCAAATTTTGAATGCATAAAAAATTGGGTGATATTTTTGGAATAGAAAAAAAAAAAAAAAACTTTATAAAAATCGCCATTTATTTATTTACTGCTTTTTGAAAACAAAAGAAAAAAACAATATTCGAAGCTGTAAAGCTAGGTTGGAGCCATTCCATTTCCCCAACTACTGACAAGTTCTTTGTCTTTTAAGTTAAATTAAAGTTGACCAACACACATAAATGGATGTTTTCACAAGCAAAAAGAAAATTGATTGAAATGCCTATTGGTTTGGCGAATATCTACTCTAAAATGCGACTATAACGCATGCACTGCTCTTCTATCCTTTATTTGATCCCATTATTTTTGACCTTCTGCTCTCTCTTTTTCCTTTCCCCTCCTCCTATTTCACACTTGTGTTGACTACAAGGACCATTTTCTTAAAACCTTTTCTTCTAGGTGAAGATAAAGGACAAAAAATTAAACAAAGAAATCTTGTAAATAGAAGGGGCTATTAAATAATAACATTATGGGCCTGCATCTACAATGCTGACATAAATAGGGTATCCATAAACTGATGTTATTAGTCCTGGTGACTAAGCAGATATTGTGCCAATTTTTGTTGCAGCAACCTCCCAAACATGGAAACTTTACTTAATGAACATTAAGGAAAGGAACGAGTCCAAATAGAACAATGTTTCTCAACTAAATTGTGTATAAAAATAAATAAATTTTTATCTTTTCTGCTAGTTGTTGACTTGACTCTATAAGCTGTAGACAGTTGTCAGTATTTGTCGCCAGATAGCAAATAAAGAATTTTCTCTTTTGCTAACTAAAACAAAGTTGACTTCCTTTCGGGATGATTAAGGTGCGTCTGATATCCCCACAACCTGTGAGAAAGCTAACTCAGATTTGGTTGTATTTAGGTATTGTTACTCTTAATATAACTTATTTTCTATATTTAAATTGGAGATCAGAACAGCAACTTTGAAATATAGGCCACTAGAGCAACAATTTTCGGACGAAACTTTTATATGTGGAGAAAATAAGATCACATTAGATTGCAAAATTTTGTATTTTTAAGCTCTTTCCACACGTCAGGTAACTCTACTTTGACTTCTCAGGTCAGGCTATGTACATTATCGGGAAGCCAATTACATTTGACCTGTGATCTGATGATATTACAGGTAACTACTTTAACAATGTAATCTGGAAAACAAAATAAACAAATCATGCTAACACAAAACCGAGTCTTCTTTCCTCAAAGGAATATTCAATCTCTTGAGCCAGGTCACCTCCATAAGTAGCCGGAGTCATGGACATATTCATAGGTATCGACACTTTCAAAGGTGTAGTGGGGACAGAAATGGGCATTTCCTTTGGGGTTCTATTCTCTTCATCCACCACTCTGGTTGTCTTTGAGGTGGTAGTGGATTGCAAATTGCTAAGTGCTAATGTTTTCTGCAACTTCTCGTTCTGTGTATTCAGTTCATCTGCAGCAGTTGCCACATTCGCTTTTGATACTGTCAAAGAGATGGGAGAAAGAGGTTGCCGTGTTAAAGGAGATTCCATGTCAATAACACTTCCAGAACCAATAGAGTGCTGTTTCATAGGAACACCAGCAATATCAAGTCCTTTTCTAGCTGCATTAACATAAAGAAAACAAAAGTGAGTGTTGAGAGTTCTAAATGCATGAACGTATGGCACATGATGAAAATCGCAAGTATAAATCATACATATATATGTATGCTGTTTGTGCAGATTATGTGAAACACAAATATCAAAGGAATGCTAGATATACCAGCTAGAAATTATGGGAAAATCAACCAGCTGAGATGTGGCTTTGACCTCCACCTTCAACATCAAACAAATATAAATGTCTAAACCGTTCCTTGGTGCCACATACAGCCTTACCAAAAAGCCATCATCAAGAGTACTTGGGAGAATCCGGTGGAGAATCATCATCTAAAACAAAGGAAAACATGAACAAGTATCCAACTATCTCCGGTTGTGTTTAGATGGCAAGTTGGCACATAACTACATTGATGGAGTTTGCTTATGTCATTTATTTTGAGAAGAAAATTAACAGAATGAAAAATGCTATGCTAATTACTAATGGAATCTGACAGTAATATAATTGCTTGCTTCATTAAATGAATGAAAGAAGAAGAAATAGAAGACAGAAAATTTGGATTTATCAATAATTATATTATGTTTAGCAGGATCTGGACCTAGAGAACCTATCACATTACAAACATCCCCCTTACCATTTCAGCCCAAATTTAGGGGAAGCAAATTCTTAAAGAGATTTGCATTGATTCCTGTTCGTTCCTTTCGACCAAACAGGAAGGAGATCCTTAACAAGTGAGAAATCTGCAAGCCAGAGACGTGAACAAAAAACTACCTGTTGAAAAACATGAACCATCATCATCCAGGTATCGTGATTTGTCAGTCTTCCTTGTGGAGAATGACTGAGTAGCTTTTGAATCAGGTCTTGGGGATTGACATCCAAGGGAGACTTTTCTACTTGCTGCACTTCCAGATGACATCCTAGGTGTCTTTTTTGCACTCTGGGCCTTTGAAGGGCTTGGTTTTGACCCATAGAGTACTTCCTTTTCCACTATCATTTGTCCCTGAAGTTTCTTCAGGTCCTAAAAACAGAAACATGATATGGTAACAAGTTGTGAAGCAAAAAAGACAAACCATATATTTGTTGGAGGACAAAGATCAATAAAATGTAGTCCAAATTTTAAAACTCAAACAAAAGTCAGGATTTACTCATAATTAAAAAAACTTATATTGGAGTGTTTTTTTTTTGTAGCCACGGTACAATTACAAGGTATCCATCGTCAAAAACAATGATTAATCTCTGCCGAAGACCATAAGCACACAGAATGAGTATTCCTGCCTTAAAATAGTCTGTTTTATACCCAAGACTAGAATTTGAAAGCTGGACAACTTAACTAAGAAACACAAGCTACTATTTAAATGCAGTGAGTGGTTCATACCCGCTGCCTACGACGTTCTTGCTCCTTCTCTTGCCGTGATAGGGTGTAGTCCTCAAGCATTGAGAGCAGTCGGCTCTAGAAAGTCATACAGCAAAAATTAGTTTAAAACAGACTTACTGAGATGACCTCAAATAATTCCTTACGTGAGGGTACTTACACCATCATATGTGAACTCAATGCCATTGTCCTTTTCCCATGCTACAGTTTTAGAAGTTATAGCATCTACCATTGCTATATGCAAACAAAAGAAAATGAAAAAGACCGGCTACATTAATAAACAAACACCAAGGCACAGATAAGCAAAGTTGTTTTACTGTTAATATCATTGAGATGGTCAAGGTCAAATAACAAAACAATAAATATGGATAACAAAGTAACAATCCAGATCTATAAATACCTGGAAGTTTGTTAACCAAGGCACGGGCTTTCTCCGCTCGCTTGAGAGTAAGATGAATACCTCTCCCAGTATTATATCGATTTTCATCCTGGATGAAAAAAATGTACTATAAAATTAATAAATTGTAAAGTGTGAGTGTGATAGATGTATAAAAAAGTAATTTATTGTTAAAGATTTTTTCGAGACTGCACCAAATACCCTTCCATTATTTGAATCTATAGTGAAACTCTTTAAAAGTTGAAAAGATGTTATTGTCCCCTCGACTTACAAATAACATCAAATCTGTTAACATATTTGTGTCATGTGACCAGCACATGATTTATAATGATTTTTTCTTTCAAAAATGCCCCTCACCTCCTCCATTAAAACCAATGATTTTTGAAACAAATGCAACTTCAAGAAAGTTTACATTTTTGGATCTTCAGACTAGGGAAAGCTAGGTGAAATTTTGGAATCAATGATCCTAAAAGCATGGTCGGTTGTTAGTAGCCTCTACGACATAAAATTGAACCAATTTTATGTAACATTTTTTCAACTTTTAAGAGGTTTCATTATAGATCCAAATAATGGAGGGATATTGTGTGCAATCTCAAAAAAACACAGGAGGTGCGAGTGTAACATTTCTTCAACTTTTAAGAGGTTTCACTGTAAATCTAAATAACGAAAGGATATTGGGTGCAATCTTGAAAGAACACAGGGAGTGTGAATATAATATCTTTTCAACTTTTAAGAGGTCTCCCTATAGGTCCAAATAACGAAGGGATATTGGTGCAATCTCGAAAAAAACATCAGGGATGCAATGCAAGTGTAATTTACTCCTTTTTTTCATAAGCTATACTCAAAACAATTTTTAAAAAAATTCATAAGTCTTATTTTTTGTATTATGATTTTTTCAAAAGCTTAAAAAAACATTAATTTTTTTCAAAAGTGATTATTTTTAAAATAAAAATGATTTTTCATGAAAAAAAAATCTGAACAAAATCTTAAAGAACATTTCTATGAAGATTGAATTTTATCAACCTACTAAAATAGTATAATAAGTGTCCAATACTTAAATCTGGTGTAAGTTGGTTCCCACCTACATATATATACATACATACATACATACATACATACATATATATATAACCATAACAGTTGATGAAGATTAAAAACTAACCCTGTTGTACTCCTCAAGCCAAGACTCTTCGTCACATGCTGACAACCATTTCTCAACTTTTTCTAGTATTTCTTTTCTAACAAAAGCTTCCTCTTTGACTCGGGCAACCTGAAGTTCAATTTGTTCAAGCACACAAGCAGGGTCTACAGATCCTATTAAAAGAAAGGAAGATGAAGACTTTAAGTTTGCTGCGGAAACAATTGCACTCAATTTCTATAGCTTCAACATTTAGAAGTTACCAAATTCTATAGCTTCAACAGTATATTCCACTGCACTATCAATTTCTGGAATCAAATGAGTCTTTTGACAAATCTCATCTAGCTCTGCTCTTTTCTTCAAAACAAGCTCTTTCATTTTGCTTGATTTTAACTCTTCTAACCTAGATACTTCTGCCTCAACCTGCATGAAATTATTACTTCTCCAGGAAATCTAAACCGCATAAAATCAAGAAAATTAGTCCTTACTTTCTCCAGTAAATATAACTTACATAATTGATGAAGTTCTCAGACAAGCTGTTTGGTTCAGTTACTTCATGTTCTGAAGCAGCTATATTACACGTAACATTCTGAAACATCTGTTGCTCTTCAATAGGTGTATCCATCAAATTCCAGAGCTCCAACATTGATGAAGCTAGATCTTGGAGCTGCCAGATCACATGCAATTTACAACTTTCAACCAGATAAAATAACATGAAATTATAAACACACATTTATGTTTCATATCTAGATTAGATCTTGGAACTGCCAGTCTTTACCCTCTGCATTCTCTGTAATTTAATTGTCCTCAATTCTTGTATAGCAATAGCCAATTGACTGATAGTATTGTTATCTACATTATTAGGTCCTTCTGAATTTCCTAAACTAGGGTGGACTCCACTGGCTGTCTGCTTAAAGTCCAAACCAAGCACTGAACAAAGAGAATTTAAGGTGTACAGGTGCTCTTGAACCTTCTTGACACGCTCACTCTGCATGCAAAGTAATAAAGATGCATCATGCTTTAAATTGTTTAGCACACACACAAAGAGAGAGAGTGAAGTAGAAGTAAATTATTGACCTTCTCCTTTTGAAGAGCAAGAAGCTGTCTGTGCAATTCTTCAAGCTTTCTCAATGATAAGTCAGTTTCATCTACAACAGCTGTAATATATTCTCTTGAATTATCAATCTCATTTGAGATACTTTGAATCTGTTCTTGAACTTCTACAAATTGATTTCTACGATCAGACTTCCTTTTTTGCATTTCCTCCAGCTCTGGGCGAACTCTTGCTAGCTCTTCCCTCAAGGTTACAGCTTTTTGGTCAAACTAGAAAAATTTGAGACAAGAACACGCCAATCCTCTTCTCATTAGATCTAACTGGATAACAAAGTAACCCAACCTTGACTGCAAAGCTCATGACAATAGCAACTAAGAAAACTATACAACAACAAAACTGTCATCGTCATGAGTGATCCATATTATGTAGGCTTCTGAACCTAACACAACCTTCCTCTTTTACCCAAGCTTGGAACAACTAAGAAAGCTATAGGGCATATTATTTTTTACAATAATCTGTATCATACCCTCAACCCAACAGCTATTTTTAGCACATAGTAACTCATTGTAAACAGTTTAAATACAAATCTGTGAATAAGCTTATATTGATAATCTCATAATCAACAAACATCATTAATGCATCTTACTTGATCACTTCAAATTATTGTCACAAATACAATATTATATACAGTTTCATTTGCCTTAAGGCCTTTTATCCACTTTATAACTGGCACACATACAAACAATAAAAGTAATAAAATAAAATAAAAACTAGTGATTTATAAAATATCAAACCTGCCTAACATGTACTGGTCGTTCTCCCATTGCTGAACAGATACATGTAAGCTCGGCTTCAGAATCAGCAATTTCCTGCCTTATTTGAGCTCTAGACCGATTTGCTTTATCTACCTTTCTTCTGTATACTTCTAGACACTCTTGATCAAGCTCAAACAACATTCTATCTTTTTCAGTCTGAGACTCCCCAACTTCATTCCATATTATCTATCATGAAAAATAAGCCAAGACAATCAGTAAGAGTTTTCTTCAGTTACTGAATATTTTCTAGTTGGTGCAGGGAGAGTAGGAAAGATAAATTACAGAAAATTTTAATGTATACCTGAAGTTCATCAAGAAGTGATACACATGTTTCAGTTTGCAAAAGCGGATCCATTTGAGGTTTAGACATTTTGGATTATTTGTATCTACCAAAAACAACAACAAAAAAAACTCTTAAACCATTACCCCCAAAAAAGCCAGAATAAGTGAAACATGAGAAACAGTAATACCAAATTGATGTATCACAGGTATAGAAACCAACAAATACTTGCAACAGATTTAAAATCCATGATTAACCATTCAAAACAAGTCAACTTCCAAGAAGAATCAAGTTCTAATACAGAATTAAATTAACTGTTAATTAAATGATAGTAATGAGAAGCATGAATGCAGAATGTACTAAGTACAATAAAATAAAATCACTTTAAATGACAGCATGCTCATACTGTGTTGAGATTCTCACTTGAAAAAAGATTAATGCTAGAAGAAACTTTAGAAAATAATCTTAGTTGATGTCAAAGTCCGTAGCCAATGCATTAAGGAGGTCATTAGTCCCATCAAGGCTCAACTATATCTTAAATAAGTGAAACAAGGACACAATGTACTAGTTGATAAATAACGAATTCCCAGACTTCCATCATCTACTATTCTCTTTACTAAACAAATACTTAAAAAACCTAAAACCCACACCATTATCATTAGCATTAAGCTCCGAAGGGTTAGGGCAAAACCAGCATAATAAATACACAGAAAATGCCCCATTACATTATTGTTAGTGTTAGACCTCCATTCAAATGCTTCTGAAATTTTAATTTTTGACAGAGCATGATTCCATCATTTAATCCATGCAACCTCAAATGTTGGACCTTTAACCTATATGACCATTTTTCTTAAACCAACATCTCCAATGGATAAAAAAAAGAAGATGATCAAACTAATTCATTGAACCCCGAAATTCAATCAAAACAGCATAAAAATTTTTCAAAACAAGCACGTAGCTTTCTGCCACTAACAAGATTTGGGAAAATATTAGGAACACAACGCAGGTGAAAGAAACTGCAACCAAATGCACAATTGAAAACATAAGAAAAACAAAGAACCAACACGCTAAACACAAAAAAGAGGCAAGTGAAATTTTTTCAATAACCTGGGATGTGAAGGACACAAAACTACAACGAAAGATACTAAATTTAGATTGATGTCTTTTATGAATATATATATATATATATATATATATATATATATTGAAGAATTTGTGAAACCCAGATTAGAAACTTTGGCGTTACAGTTTCCTCGGAAAGCGAACATGAATTTGAGGGAACCCAGAAAAGCAAAGGCGATAAATTTACAAACACAGTAATGACCTGCGAAGGAAAGGCCCCTGGCAAGAAAGGGGAATCGATTATGCGAAGAAAATGAAAATGCAGTTTTGGGATTTTGAAAGGTTTGAATTGGGATTTGGGATGAGAGATAGAATAATAGGAAGAACAGAGAGAGAATGTAGCCGTTTGAGGAAAGCGGGTCAGAGACTTTATTTTTATTTTGTTTTATTGTTATTTCGTCCCCAGGGGATCTCAATTTTAATAAATAAAAATTGGTTTTATTTTAGAACATGTCCTCTTATTATAATTTTTTTCAGTACTGAAAAATTTTTTTAAAAAAAATACAAAAGTAAACCCACTGTCAATATATTTACAAAATTAAACTTAATTATTGTGCATGATCTCAAGGAATTGAATTTTGACCAGCACAGTTCTCGCTCATACCCAATTTTACCTATCAGAATTCGATTCCTTGGAATCTGAATTCTGTGTAGATTTTAACTTTTTTTTTAAAGGTTTTATTTTA